CTCTCTCTCTCTCTCTCTCTCTCTCTCTCTCTCTCTCTCTCTCTCTCTCTCTCTCTCTCTCTCTCTCTCTCTCTCTCTCTCTCTTTCTCTCTCGCACACCTCCTCCCCCTTATGCAACCTCGCAACCTGGCGCTGGGAGGGGTGCTTTCGAGTTCAAACGGGCCTTCTACAGACCTGCCCCCCCCCCCTGCGTGCTCCCTCCGGCCCCGTTCCCCCAACCTCAGACAAAGAAAAACATGTGTGTGGGTCCTTTTTTCATCTATGCGCATAAGTTGGAGTGTGCTCATATGGATAGCTTATGTGGCCCCACGTACACGAATGCCATGCAACACAGGGGGTGGGGGTGCATGCTGTGTCATGCCCAGGTTGGGGATAAATTTAGTGGATATGACATGGATATCAGGTTTATGTATCACAGAGGATGAAGGAGATGTAGTCCTACTTCTGAATGATAAGGCAGTGCTCTTAACTGTGGGCTGGACGGGGAAAGTGAAAATTTTTAACAATAAAAGCTTTAAAATTTTTAACAATAAAAGCTAGAACACATGTCCCATGCTTACTACACCAGAGGGGTTGATTTTCCCATCTTTTGACTCGGGAGTGATTCTTTAGATGATTTGTAAGTTGTAAGGACGAACAGTTCAGGTCCTCAGGACTAATGCATTGTGGATGTCTTTGAATCTCTTATTCCTCCTCCCCTTCCTTGTGTCTCCTTTTTTATCCGCCTTCTCCTCCTCTATCTGCTTCCTATTCCTGCAACTCCTTGCTCACCTGCTGCTACTTTGTCTCGTCCTCTCCATCACCTCCTCCTCCCTTCCTCCTGCTCTCCTCCTCCCTTCCTCTTTCCCTCCTTCCCTCCTCCTTCCCTCCTCCTTCCTTCCTCCTCCCTCCTCCTCCCCTCCTCCTTTTCTCCCCTCCACCACCATCTCATCCACACTCTCTGCCTCCTGCATGTAATTCGGGTGCAGTTTTTGTGTACATCTTCGAGTTGGTGTTTCACATTGTAGTCGTTGGTTTTGAAGTGTTCTGGAGAGACCCTAGTAACAGGGTGCACTTCATGGTTGACATAGCCTCCGGTAAGTGTTGTCCTTTAATTTTCAGACTTGAACCACGAGTTCATAATTTATTTAGTTGTAGTATTCTTATTATTTGTATATTATTATTATTATTATTATTATTATTTCTTCATATAAATTTATAAAATCATATAATAATAAGAACTGTTTTATAAACTCACGATCTTGATAGCAGCCTGTGGCCTCAGGGTGACCATTATGGTTTTCCCGGAAGTCAATTTTTTTTATTTTATTTTTTCCGCAGAAGTCGCGTTTATTGTTTCACTTCTTTTTTTTCTTTTTTTTTCTTTTTTTTTTTTTTGGGGGGGGGGTGTCTTTACAACCCTTTTTGTTACTATTTCTTTTTATTTTTTTCCTAGCTTGCTGTTGAATGGGTGGGGTTGCTATAATCACTCTTGGTTTTTATCGAGTACCCAGCTCTGGGCAGATTCAGACTACTGTCTTAACCTGAAAAAAACGTACGTATACTTTGTACAAGGAGTTTTAGGGTGCAACTTTGCCGGAGCTTGTAGTACCAGAAATCGTTTTTGTTTTTGTTTTCTCAAATTTGGTTGGGTCTTCTCCAAGACCCTCAGGGAAATGTTGTTTGCATTGCAATTTCGTGCGACAAGTTTTTTTTTTTTTTTTTTTTGGATTATTTCTTACAAATCGAAATTCTTAAGAAATCAGAAAACAGCTCAAAACACTGCAATATGCCCTTAAGAGTCAAAAGATATCTTTATTTTTGTTTTTGTTTTTTTTCTCGAATTCGGTTGTGAATTTCGACATGACCCCATTGGCGTGCATATATCGAAGTAGCCAGCCTCCTCGAACATCTCTCATAATATGTTCTACACTGTAGAAAGCTAAATCTACATGAGGCGTATAATGCATTGCTAAGAAAATGCCTGTAATTATCTGGATTACCAAACGAATACCAGCAAGAGATCCAAAACCCCATCAATAGCTGAGATTGCTAGGACTTGGATAATCTACCAAATGATTGTTGAATGTAGAAAATATAGGTTGTTTAAACCACCAGTACTTGGGCACTGCGCGCCGCGCCGGCCGCCCAAATCTCGAAGCAGCGCGGGCTGTCGATTCGATTTATCGACGGCCCGCCGGCCGCGGAAATCGCGTAGCGTTAACGCTAAGGCGTCGCCCAAGTACTGGTGGTTTAAGAATCGATAGTCGTCTTGCCATAAATATTCAATTGTTGTTTGTATGGTGTAGTCAAATAGTTGAAAAACAAAAACACAATTCTAAGCTAAGACATTGAGGTCGTTGGTCGGTCGCGTTATCTCATTGGAGTATAGCCAAGTGGAAAGGCATCGGTTTTTGATACCGACATGCAAAGGTTCGAAAAAAAATTAGCGATTTTGGAGAACCCATTTTTTCGAGGTAAGTTGAATAGAATGTATGTACGTTTTTTTTCGGGTTACGACAGTAGGACTTTTTCGAGTCAGCTTTGGGCGTGATTGCAGTCAGAGGCAACCAGGACTGACCCTAATTACTGTCAAATACATTTAGAAAAGTCAAAGTGTGAGTATGCCTGAAAGAAAAAAAAAAAAGAGTATGCCGTCAGTCGAAGCAGGAACACTAGTTTCCATGTTTCATAGTCATCTCCTTTCCTCCTTCGTCAAATCTTTCCTCTTCTGTTGAATCTTTCCCCTTTGGTCAAAATTTTCCTCCTTTACCAAACCCCTCTTTGTGCTTGTTAGCATTGCTGCTGGGCCTTGGATTGAAGAAAAAGAATGATCCGTCCATTTGGACAACATGCACCCTAGTTGGGGGGCCAGGAAGGGGGGTCGGGGGGAGTTGAGTTGTGGGTGAGGGTGTTTCAGGGGGTGTTTGGGGGGTGTTCGGGGAGTGTTCGGGGGGTATTCAGGGGGTGTTTGGAGGTGTTTGGGGGGTTTGAGAACAGAAGTAAAGAGGGGAAAAGGGGGTGTTTGGGGGGTTCTGTTGGGGAGGCTCAGGGGGTGTTCCGGGTGTGTTTGGGGGGTGTTCAGGGGGTGTTTCGGGCGTTATCTGGGGGAGGTTCAGGGTGTGTTTGCGGGGTGTTTGGGGATGGACAGGAGGTGTTTGGGGGGTTTGAGAACAGAAGTAAAGAGGGGAACCAATGCAGGGCTAGACACCGATGCTCTACAAAAGTGAGAGCAGTAAAATGGTGTGAACTGCTCCTCTGCTCTCACTTTTATGGAGCCTACGAAGCTTTCCGGGGCCCAGCCTCTCCTGAAAGTCGGTCGGTGAAGCCGATGGTGCATGACGGGCCTGGTAAGACCGCCGCCATTTTATTGTTTTCCAACTGCGGGGTGCCTACGGGTCAGCGCTGACGGCACCTACCATAGGCAGGTCGGCCGCCTACTGTTGGCCAGACTACCCTGCTGGCAGGTCATTTCTTATGTACATCATGTACTTCCGCATCGAATGTATGTATATTGTTAGCTAAACTGCGTAGCACGCCGAACGTGTTCGCGCCCCTTCACGTTCGCGCGAACAGCTCGCGAACATGTTCGGGTGAACATTTTTTTTTTCCGTAAAAATCACAAACAGAACTGCCCGGTAAACCGTAGGCAGAGAGAGAGAAGAGGACAACAAACGAGGGGCTGTGGCAAACTGTTTCGTCGGAGTTTCACCGACTCATCAGGAGGCTGAACCCTATATATATTTTTCGGTTTTTTATTTTCACTCATGATTGGCTACGAATTTGAACCTGACTCCCAAGGCAAAAGTTGCTTGTATTGTTATTTTACATAACATTTTTTTTTTTCAGATTTTCTGAGAACTTTTGAATCCAAAAATTTTGAATATCGTAGTCTTTATTTTTGTTTTTTTTAATATTTTTTATGTTCGTGACTGCAGCTGCACCCAAGGCGCAGTGTGGACAGATGGGAACATAATAGACAAAGTTCAGAAAGAAACGTCAACCTCCAGAACTAGTGAAAACCATTTTTTGGTTATGATCTGAAGTTATTTTGCCTCCGCATCTTGTTTCGTCATTATCTGAAACTTCCTTAGTCAGCACCTGTCCGGGCAAATTCTCACTGGGTCTGACTACCGTTTGCACCCTGTGTGTGTGTGTGTGTGTGTGTGTGTGTGTGTGTGTGTGTG